AGATAGATAGATAGATAGATAGATAGATAGATAGATAGATAGATAGAATTCTTTATTGGCCAAGTGTGATTCGACACACAGGAATTTGTCTTGGTGCAAATACTCTCTGTATATATAAAAGAAAAGATACAATTGTCAAGAGTCAAGAATCATAAGGTACAACACTTAATGATAGTCATAGGGTACAATAAGCAATCAAATCATACTAGGAAACAGTCAATATAAATCGTAAGGATACAAGCGACAAAGTTATAGTCATACAGTCACAAGTGGGAGGGGATGGGTGATAAGGAGTGATGAGAAGATTAACAGTAATAGTTTGTAATACTACTTTGTAATAGTTGGACAGTGTTGAGGGAATTATTTGTTTAGCAGAGTGATGGCATTTGGGGAAAAACTGTTCTTGTGCTAGCTGTTCTGGTGTGCAGTGCTCTATAGCGTTAGTTTGAGGGAAGGAGTTGAAACAGCTTATATCCAGGATGTGAGGGGTCTGTAAATATTTTCACAACCGTCTTTTTGACTCATGCAGTATACAGGTCCTCGACTGAAGGCAGGTGGGTAGTAACTGTTTTTTCTGCAGTCCTAATTAACCTCTGAAGTCTGTGTCTGTGTCTGTCCTGTTGGGTTGCAGAACCAAACCAGTCAGTTATAGAGGTGCAGATGACAGACTCAATAATTCCTCTGTAGAACTGTATCAGCAGTTTGAGCTTTCTTTGTTGTGCTTTTCATTAAGAAACTCCTGTTTGTTTCCCATTTGTTTCCCATTTGTTTGCTTTTTCCTCTGCCAAAATTCATGTTCCAAGTCTTCCTAAATCTAACAATAACCCTAAGTAAGCTTAAAATGATTAATGATCTGAACAGTAAGGGGCAAAAGGGCTACAAATAGAAATGATGAAGGTGAGGGTGCAAGGAAAAATAATTTCTCACCTGCTGGCACAAAGTAGAACCAATGTTTTTTGTTTTGTTTCCAAAAAATAAATGAATATATAAATGAATATCTCACAGATACAAGTGTGCACTCTAGGAGAGAACTATGAGCTAAAATAATTTTTACTTCCTGGGCTCAAGAAGCTTTCCTCGAGACTCCGGGAGGGCGAAAACTGCCTCCTGGGCTCTGAAGGCTCTCTGGAAGCCGGAAACGGGCCCATTTCCAGCCTTCCAGAACTTCCAGGAGGCCCGTTTTTCACCCTTTCTAGGCTCTAGAGGCTTTTCTTGAGCCTCTCTGGGCTCTGGAGACTCTCTGGAGGTTCTCTGGAGGCTGGAAATGGGCCCATTTCTAGCCTTCCAGAACTTCCGGGAGACCCTGCACATCTGCAATCCAAATTGGGCTGCGTGGGGACTCCTGGGAGGGGAGGGGTGGGTGGAGCCAGCCAGGGGTGGGATTTGCCAGTTTGCTGAACTGGCCATAAAATTAAAAACCAGTTCCACCCCTGCTTCTGACTGTAATGAGCAAGTCCATTACGGTTGTTGGTCAAGGACTATCTGTACATTCACCATCACTTCCCATAAAGTTCATATCTTGAAATGACCCATATATATATACATCCTTAACTAAGTTTCAGGATGGACGAAGGTGGTCTTGTCTGAAAAAATGGAAACATTTTTGGCACATATTAAATATAGTAGTTTGCAATTACTGTCAGTTTGTCCAAAAGTGGATTCAAACTTTTCACGTTTCCTAAATGCGAAGAGACAGACAAAGCACGTTTAAAGTTTCAGATAAAAAATTCAAGGATAATGAAAGAGCAATAAAAGTTGTTACCTAAATGCTAATGACTAAGTAAAAAAAAATGCTGATCTTTTAAAATGCAAAGGGAAGGAAGCAAAGTAAACATCTAGCAGTGCTCGAACAAGCTGCCTTTTATTCCCTTTTTCCATTTATGATACACTACATAATTAGGATCCAAATAAAAATTAAGTTGTTTGATAAAACAATGTTCTTGCAAACTGTGAATTCCTCATTTTGTAAAGGTCAGCACAGGTTAAGGCATTGTAAACAGATACTTTACCTGCTGTTCATAAACAACTCAATACCATAATAGCAGAAATGCACAAATCAGTTCTTAAAAATCTAGAGAGAGATTTCGCAGTTGTTTCCTCCGCAAGCAGCTCAAGCCATTAAAGTCATTAAATATGCTGCAAAAAAATCCAGCTTTCTAATTCAATTTGTTTCACTGCCTGAAAAATTCACCTTTAAAAGCTGTCCCTGTTATTTCCTTTTAGAGATAGAACAGATTGGATACTTTTTCACTAACCCCCAAGCCTATCATTAATTATTATTTATCACATTTGTACATTATTTTTCTTTTAAGCCTTACAGGAAAGACAGCACACGGACCTGATGAATTATATTTCTTACTGTTGATACCTAACACAAAGTAACTCTCTGAAAATACATATTTTCTCTACTGGGAAGAGGAGGTGAACAATGAATTCTAGAACCCAAAGTGCTCAATAACATCTGGTTCATCTTCAGTTTAAAGAACTGATACTGGAGGGAGGTACATCTATCTCCATTATTTATTTATTTTTGTCAAAATGATCATGCAGACAACTTGTACTTGTTCTCTATAATACTTGCTAGTCCAATTATGCAATTTCAGGCTGAATGTTATAGTTTTACATTCAGATATACAAAATGGCTTAACCTCCAAAATTGTTTTGCTACGCTGCCTGGAAGAACTGCAATTCTGAGGTGCTTAAGCCTTTCTTTGCCTGAGCAACAGACAGTTGTCACCGATGGGTGACTTAATGATGAGCTAGCAGAAAGAAATCTGCTTCAGGGTGGCTGCACAGTGATTGCTGTAGGGGGCAAAGCTGGTTAGGCATTCAAGCCAGCTTCTCACCCCGTGAAGACAAAACAGATTTTGGATCTCCTCTATTCCAGCGGTTGTTGTCAGTAGCCTGAGGGTATAAATCCTCTCTGGGAAAGTCAGAAGAATAAACATAAGTCGTCTTCGGCATACAACTATCTGTTTAGCAACTACTCAAAATTACAATGGCACTGAAAAAGGAGACTTATGACCAGCCCTTGCACTTATGACCATCCTAACATCCCCAAAATTGTGTGATCAAAATTCAGAAGATTGGCATGCATTTAGGATGATTGCAGCATCCCGGGGTTATATGATCATCATTTGCGATCTTCCCAGATGGTTTCTAGCAAGCAAAGTCAATGGAGAAACCTGGATTCGCTTAACAACTGCATGATTCACTTAAATATCTTTTATGAATGAAGGCAAATATACGTGTCCCAGGATAATGTTGCAATGATCCAATCTAGGTTGGTCACCCAGATTGGTTTAGTCTTCTGAGCTTTCATTCTTGTCCTGGAGCCCATCCTCAGGGAACCTTTTTCTAGCAAAGTGTCTTTTCTCACTTAGCAACCATTCTTGAAAATAATCATACAACATATGCTAGTTTTATTTTATTTTTATGTATTGCTCATATAATATCTAATTTAGTTCTTAGTGTCTGTTTAAGGCAGAAAAGAGAGAAAGTCTTCCATCTTCTCAAAACCCCAAATGAGTAATATCAAATTGCTGGATATTTTGTTTGATATTCTCAGCAAAGAAAAGCAACTCAAGGCTGGATATCATATCACTCCAACTCTTAAGGTTCAGAATCAGTAACAATCATTCAGAAGGTTCACTTTTGTAGTAAGATCACATAGAGTCTCATAAAATTTTCTTTAGAGTTAAAACTTAGCTTGCTGAGAAGTCTTATGAACCTGCAGAGGTTATTCCCATAAATCTGTAATAACTATAACCATTCCTGGATAATTGGAAATGCCACTTTATTCTTCCTCATGTCTCAAATACTCTTCAGAAATATTTGAAATGTACTATTATTCTCACACAGACAGAGTTTGCAACTTTTGGTCAAAATATTGTAACTTTTTTTTCCTTATTACCTTGCCCTTGTCAAAATAATGGATAATTTCTTGATAGAGCTGATCTTTGAGTTGTCCTTGCGTTGCTGCCTGGTAACCATCTCGTTGAGTAAGATGTGCTGCACATGGTTCTTCAGACCACTATATCAAATGAAAGCCAGGAAGAAATTAAACATTAATAATGATTAATGTATAAATAGCTTTATCCTGCTTTAAACAAAATCAAGGAATTTATTTATTTATTTATCAATCAAGTTTATATACCTGCCATCTCACCATGGGTGATTCTGAGCAGCACGTGCAACAAACAGATAAGACCACATATGAAACCCACAAATATTTTTTAAAAAACATAAAAAATAATACTAACAGTAAATATCATGGTCACTCGATACTCGACTGCTCTGAAAGTTGTCAAATTTGCTACTCAATACATTTTGATGGGAATTTCCCCTCCCCACTACTCATCATTTGTTTGGTACTCGGTACACAAGCTAGAAGTTGTTGGTATTAGTTGCCTTGTGACTCACTTCCCTTTCCAGTCAAAACAAAACGTCACATGCTAGTCATGTGGTTTGTTTGACACTTATTGTTTTTAGTACTAGTCATGCCTCCCGGAACCAATCAGGGGTGGGATTCTACCGGTTCTGTCCACCTCTTTAGAACCAGTTGCTCTGAAGAGCAGCAAACAGAGAGCATACATAGAACCGGTTCTATGTCTGCTGCTGTTTTGGCCCACCCGCCCGCCAGGGCTCTTACCTGACCGTTATTTCCTGCTTTTTCAACCGTAGCTGCTTTGCGCGATACAGCTGCGGTTGAAAAAGCAGGGGAAAAAGGGCTTTTTCAACTGCTGTGCACCTGCGCGCAGTGCTGCTCAGCTGTCCAGGCAGCTAGCTGACGACGATATACACGCGCGCGCAGCAAAATGTAAAATCACCAAACCAGTGGTTACACCAGTCGGATCCCACCCCTGGAACCAATTAATTATGAGTATTAAGGCACCACTGTACTAAAAACATGAAATTAGTTTGTGATGAATTTTTTCAGGATGTAAAATATGACATCAATGCTGGAAGTTCGGAGTTCACCTACTGAAGGAGGTCAGGAGCTAAATGAAAAGCTGTTTCATATAAAGATGCCTCATATAATCATTTATAGAATTGTTATGTTGTAAATGAGCCTGCAGCACTGAATAGAATAATGAGACAAGAAAGGGAAAAAATCAGATATGATTTTAAGAAAAAATAGTATGTTGTAACCCTTCTTCAGATTTCCAAAATATCAGTTCTTGGAGGGAAGATGAAGGCACATATTCCAGCCCTCTTTCTTCAACCCCAATCTCTGGATGCTGATGAGGAAAATCTGCAAGGAAAGATAAAACCAACCAATCTGCTGTCATATTGGCTGGGGATTCATGTAGCACCATATCAGAACAGGTTGAATTGTAACTGTATTATCAACCCTTGCTATCAAGAGGTAGAAGACAAACACTGAGATTGTTAGAATATGATTACAGTTTAAATTATAAAACATATTCATTAATTAATTATTTTAAAAGATTCACAAATGAGCGTAGAGTTGAAAAGACTTCCAAGCGATGGCAAACAATTCAATCATTGATTACTTTTCCCAGATTTAGGCCAGTGCTACATTATTTCTAGACATTCAAAATCAACGTATGTAGAATGCAACTGCATGCCCACAGATTTCAACACAGCTGCTATTAAATGTTATGTGTGGGTCTTTTATCTTACATGGAAGAGATGAATGAAGTTTTCCTGTATCATTGAATTAATACAGGACTAAAATCATAAAATCAAACACAGGGATCCTGTCAATGTATAAATTAGAGCTAATACATTTTAAAGAATTTTTAATGAAGCTGAATTTAATAAGTATTTATTCAAAAGTATTTATTAAAAGTATTTAAGTTAAAAGAGAATCATATTGATCCTGAAGGTATGCAGGCATAGATAACTCTGTTCTTTCTGTGAATATGTATCTTTATTAATTAACACAAGGAAATCAGAAAATTATCTAGATTTTGAAATGTTATACAACTGTTGTAAAATCATTTTAAAATTTAAAAACTCCAGGCCCCTCTACGAGACAGTATTATGCTATAATTTTAGTTTAGCACAAAAATAAATACAGAAAAAGCAGGAAAAAATGGGGGGTGTTTCTGATCGTATTTTGCCTTCATAATGGAAGGCATGGTTACTGCCAAGTTCCAAATCAAGTTCCAAGTAGCATCATTGCTGCTTACTGAGGTTTTTTTTTCAAGCTGCTAAAACCTTTAGAACTCAATCAGTCTTGTTATCTCGCTTGCACAGGTAAGTAGCTGCTGCCGCCGTCACTGGTGATCCAACATTGCATTCATTTTCTTTGTTAATGTTTTCTTTTTCTTCCATCTTCTACCCATACCTCACTAAGTCCTTTTTATCCAAAGAATTTTGGACCAATGGGTACAGTTGCATCCTTGAAAAGAGGCAATTGACAACAGCAAGGATAGGAATAAGGTGAGGCTGTGTTCTGTTTTTGGGTAGGAAACAAGAGATGTCGTTTACTTTGGAAGCACTTTTCAATGTTTGTTTGGGAAAGCAAAAGAAGGAGAGACAGCCACTGGAGTGAATGTCAGAGGCCAGTGTAGAAGGGCTAGTCTCCATCCTCTTGGTTAGGCTGGCTGGTCAAGTCTCTCCAATATGGGTTGCCTGACCATAGCTAATCGGAAATCCATGGCATAGCTAATTGGAAGTCAGGAAGACTGTCCTTGCAAAAGCAACCACTTAAATGGCCAAAATGAGCAGTTTTATCATACTTCAGGTACTTCAGATAATTCAGGTAAATATTGTGTTTGAAAGCTACTGAAATTTATAAACACTCTATCTCATGTTTTGTTATTCTAAAGTTTATAGCTTTACCAGGAACTTAGGCTAGGTAACAGTCCTAAATTTCTAGAGATGGATGGACCACAATTCTGAGGAAATGTGAAATGACGTACAGTAGATAAAGATCTTCTTACCTTTGATTACCTGCACATTATTGTATGATAATCTATTTCTCGATAACAATTAGAAAACTCACAGTTTTAATAAGTTTTGTGACAGCTTTATCCTTTAAGCCTGATATGAATGTCATTGACATTTTCTTTTTATAATAAAAATAAAATCACAAGAAATTTTTGAGAAGATGGATATATCGACTGAAAAATGTCTCTGCACTGATTTTACAAACCTACTGCAATTCTTTTCTGTTCTTCAACTGACATTTTCTTACATTTAACATAATTCATCTGTTCTTTCATTTTCTTCTTATTTAAAGGTGCTCTTGCAATGTCCTATAACCTATCTTTTATCTCTATATATTGGAGGGCGGAGCTGGCGTTGCGACGATACGGCATGCAATCTTGGAGGTCTGAGATCGCTGCCGATATCTTTGCTCCTGGATGGTCCAAACGGATCTAAACTGTCCCAAAGAGATGGTGAATGTAAAGAGCGCATCCTATCGATCCCAGGGATATCACAAAGTCCCTGGTAGATCCAGGAGAAGCTCTTTTTTCCAGCGGCAAAGAGGCAGCCATTAAAGCTGCTGAAGTTGGGACAGCTCCGAAACGGAAGAGGATAGAAAGAGAAAGTGTGCCGGTTTGGTGAGAAGTTTTTCTTTACTTTAAGATTTAAAAGGATACCCTAAGGAAAAGAAAGAATCTGTAAAATTTCAGACAGAAGTAATTAAGCGGCTATTTTAAATGGGAAGTCAAATTAATTTTTTCTTTTTTTTGCTGGACTCTTTGTATATGATTTTTTACTTTGAACTGGACTGGTCTTTTTTTCTATCTTATTTTTCATTTTTGGTTCTTCTCCTTTTGGTCTTTACCATATTTTAGGCTAGAGAACCCCTTTTAGCTTTTTTTTTTCTAAACCCTTTTTCCTTTTTAATTAATTTTTTTATAATAATCTGTTTGGAAAAGGAGGGGTAAAGTGAAAACAGAGGAAACTTTGTAACACTGCCAACTAGACGCTTAGAAATATTGTTTCTCTTTTTTTCTCTTTTGACCAGACAAAGCTGAGAAAGAATTCAGACTTCTTTTCAAGGACTCTGAGCCTGTCTGATAAGATAGAGGGAAGAGCATGGGAGAGTGTTATTGCAGGTGCTCTTCTGGGTTTCTATCAGTAGCTGGAGTCTGGTGTTGAAGTATACGGAAAAAAGATGATAAGATTCTAGAGAAGAGACCTATACAAATTAACAAAAGCCTTGGATAACTAAATAGGTGCAGTGTGTTCTCTTTCTCTTTTTTAAGTTGGGCTATTCCTCACACCCCCTCCTTATCAGCTTATTATTTGTAATAGTTATTTGGATCTCTGGATTTTTGGAACCTACTTTTGTTTTTCTTTTTGCTTTTGGAGCCTAATTTTTACTTTTGCATTTTATTTTAAAGGAAAAGTCTTAGCATTAATGTTTTCCTTCTTTTTTTCTTTTTTTTTTTAAGGGAGTAGGCTTTTTCTTTTTTTCTCTGTCCCTCTCCTGCATTTTTTATCTACCCTCCATATTGGGGGTTTTTTGTGGCTTCTTTTTTTCGGATACTTTTTCATACCTGAGACTTTTTAATTGGATTAAGGTGTTGAAAAATGTGAAGAAATTCCTTTTTCTTTTTAGTGTTTTACTCTTTATTTTTCTGCCTTCCACAAGATTTAACAATTTTTTTTCCTTTCTCTATGGTTTTTTTTCTCTTTCTTCCTTTTTTGAGCTTTTATTGCTATTTAACTAATTAATTGGATTAAGGTATACAAGAACCTGAAGAAATCATTTTTTAAAAATCTTGCTTCTTTTTTCCCACTATTTTTACTTGGATTTACAATTGGCTATTTCACGAGTGGATTAAGGTCTAGAAGAACCTGAAGATTTTGAATTGTCCGAAATGAGCAGGAAACTAACAGCAGCTGGTTCTTCAATTCCTACTTTTTTCTCTTCACCATCTGGAGGACAACGCTCAATACAGACGATGTTACAGTAAGAAAAAGAACAGGAAAAGGTGACATTGCAGAGGATAATGCAAGGAATTCAAAGCATACAAGCAAGAACAGAGAATATTGAAAGGAGAATAGAAAAAACTGATAAAAAGGTGGAGAATATTCAACAAATGATGATGAAGTATGATGAGAAATTCAAAAAAATTGAAGAAGAAGAAGATAAACAAAGAGATAAGAAGATTGGAGATCCTGATGACAGATTAACAGTGGTTGAACAAGATAAAAGTGGGAAGCTGAGATGGGAGATGGATAGATCAGAATTTTATCTCAGATTTCAAAACATAGAGGAAGAAAAGGGACAAAATTTAGCTGAGATAATGATAGAAATTTTGGCTGAAATTCATCCAAGCAATAGAAGCTATATATCATAAGCAAACAGCAAAGGTAATGATAGAGGGAGGAATTAACGGACTCTATTGATATAAGAAAAGGAACAAGACAAGGGTGCTCACTGTCACCTTTGTTGTTTGTGTTAACCTTGGAAGTGCTAAACAGAAATATTAGAGAAGAAAAGGACATAAAAGGGATGAAAATTAAACAAGAAGAATTTAAATTGCAAGCATTTGCAGATGATCTGGTTTTCATCTTCGAAGACCCACTAGAAACAGCATTAAAATTGATAGAAAAGATAGAGGTATATGGGAAGGTGGCTGGTTTGAAAATAAAGACAAAACAAAGATTTTCACAAAGAATATGTTATCAAGACAAAAGAAAGAACTGGTGGATGTATTAAAAATCCAGGTCACGAATAAGATCAAGTACTTGGGGATACATTTGACAGCAAGATGTAGTACAGTAAAAGAGAATAACTATATTAAACTTAAGCAGCAGATAGCGCTAGATTTGGTGAAATGGGAAAATTTACAACTGTCATTAATAGGGAGAATATCAACAATCAAGATGAATATATTGCCCAGAATTTTATATTTGTTCCAAACAATTCCAATTAGGCTTGGAAAAGATTATTTTGAAGATTTAAATAAAATTGTGTTGAAATATATATGGCAAGGTAAGAAAGCGAGAATAAAATTAAAACTTTTGCAAGATGCTAGAATAAGAGGAGGATTTAGTTTGCCTAATTGGGAGTTGTACTACCAAGTTACAAATTTGATGAGGGTTAAGGAATGGATGACATTAAGAAATGCTAGATTGTTGACACAAGAAGGACATGATCTGTTGTTGGGGTGGCATGCTTTTTTATGGTATAAAGAAACTAAAACACAGGGGTATTTTAGAAGACATTATATACAGGAGTCTCTGTGGTTAAACTGGGAGAAGACTAAAAGGCAATGTTATTTGAAAATTCCAGTCTGGCTATCGACTATTGAAGCTTTTTCCTATCCTATAATATATTAAAAGGAACAAACAGTTACATATGGTGAAATATTGAATGAAAAGGGTGAACAAATCTATGCAAAAATTAGAAGAACAAGGTATAAAGATGAATTGGTTTTCATATGCGCAAATACATTCAAGGTATGATAAAGATTCTAAAACAGAAGGTTTCTATGATAAATTGACTGATTTAGATAAGATTTTGACAGGTACTGATGAAAAGGTGACTAAAAAATTATATGGATATCTATTAGAAATTAAACTAGAAGAAGAACAAGTTAAAGAAACTATGATTGCTTGGGGGAAGAATTTCGGATATGGGATTGATTTAGAGAAATGGCAAAAATTGTGGTCTCAAAATTATAAAATGACATTGTCAACTGCATATGAAGAAAATTTGTATAGGATGTTTTACAGGTGGCATTTCCCCCCAACAAGAATAGCAAGAATGTTCAAGAACAAATCTGAAAAATGTTGGAAATGTCATCAAGTACCTGGCTCATATTACCATATGTGGTGGATTTGTGCGGATGCCAAAAAATATTGGACTAAAATCCACACATGATTGAAACATCTTTCTTATATAATATCAAAACAGATCACAGACTAGCATGGCTCATATCAATGATTTTAAAATGAACCATAAATCCCTCAGAAAACCATTTTCATCATTAGTATAAGTAACATGATGTTATGTGTGTGTGATTTTTTTTTCAAATATGCTGTTTGTATCTTTTTAATATGGCTTACAAACATTGGGATATTGAACACTTAGAATATTGCCCAGCAAACAAATATTACATTGAAATGCTGATAGAAAGAAGTGGTCATTCTGCCTCACAGAAATGCACCAATGCCACAGTCAACTGGTTGCTGGGAAGTTTGAGAACTTGAAATAGAGGAAAGGGATATAACATGGTCCACATGCATTATCCTTGTGTTGTGTCACCTCCATTTGCACAGAACTCCCAACTATGCAGCATGAATCCAGAGTCACAAGAGGAGTTCTGTACTTGTGCACATGTAGAATTGAATTCCCTGTCAGACTCTGTCATTCAGCATGGATCTGTCAGAAGATCTGAAAGGAATAGAAACGATGCCATCCAAGTGTTTTAAGGCAGATGCCAGTCAAAACTAGAGTACCTACAATATGTAAGCATCCCATCTGGCCTACAAATTCATGCAAACAATATTGTAGGAATGACTCAGCTTTATATCAGAATGACCCCTTTTGTGACAGATGCACAATGAAAGGTGACTGAAGTATGCAGATTATATGGTGATTCTTAGTCCCTCATCTTCAGATTTTTTGTCCAGATTCAGCCTAAAGTTTAGAGAATTCTGAAAGACTTGAGGAACAGAAGGAAAGGAGAAAAGTTTTCAGATATTCTATCCTCCCTGTTCCATTTATGGATGCCTTCAATCAACAAGGAACACTTGTTTTCAGCAAAATAAGATGAACCTCATAACTTTGTATTATCTTTTCAAAAGTAATTTGTTTACTACTAATTTGACCAAAGGGTTAATTAGCACATTAGTATATCAATGGTCAAAAACCTTAATAAAATCTACATTCAGATGACCTAGCTGACTATTTTAAAAGATAATGAAATTATTTTTACTGCTGTATTCAAGTAAATCTTTGTTTTGCGCTCTCTCTCTCTCTCTCTCTCTCTCTCTCTCTCTCTCTCTCTCTCTCTCTCTCTCTCTCTCTCTCTCTCTCTCTCTCTCTCTCTATATATATATATATATATATATATATATATAATCTATTTTGTCATATATATATAAGCACACACACACACACACACCAGATTGAGAAAAAAATGAAGATTTCTTTGAAGTAAAGAGAATGTTTCATTATCTTTTTAAATTGTGTGTGTCTATGTGTGCGTGAGTATGGATATCTAAGTTAATCTTATTATGAAATACAAATATTAAAGAATGGGTTTTCTATCTACACACATAAACAGTCTTAGAAATATTCAGTTGACTTAATAGCATTATAAAATAATTATAAAGGGGTGGAAGGACAAATTGCAAGAATACAACTATAACTACAAAGACGTCTCCCACCCCTTGATCATTATAGAAATGAGAAAAAAATATTATGATTTTTTCCCTATCACATTACATTTAAAGATACTTCAAGGCAAATATCAAGAGATGCTTATGTTGTGAACAGTTTCTTATATTTTGAAGTATCCGTATTTGTCAAAAACTGGGATATTTGGAGAAGGGGACAAAGTTGTAACCAATCATCCTGCAGTGCTAAAAAGCCTGCTATTCAAAGAAAACAATTGGAGAAGAAAACGAAGCACGTACTAATCCACAAAGATAAATTTGGAATATTGTTTATACGTTTCAATATCTTACTTGCAATATTTGGATCCAAAGTGGGAACGATGTTTCAGATCTAGCACGCCTAGATTTGCTGTACTTGTCAGCATATCCTTAAAGAAGTCTTGACTTTCCCTGGGCTCACATGGTTGCCATTTGATTCAGAAAAACATGTGTTAAGAAGGTATTAAGGAAGTGTCAACAGAGCAGTGACATATGGTTGCATCATGTCACATCTCCTTAATTCAAACAATGTTTTCCGCATCGCTATCATGCAAACCCTGGAAAAAGCAAATGCATCTTTAAGGCCACACTAATAAGGATGGTGAAACATGCGCCATGCTGAATCCAGGACAGAGGATAAATCGCATCATGGTTAATCATCTGTACTGACATGCAGTACTTTGCCTTTGCTTCCACCATGGGTGATTCACGCATTCCATTTTCAAGCAAAAATCCAGTAACAATTCTATATCCTAGCTTTCTGTTTCATTTTTATAAAATATTCAGTGTATTTTGTATGCAAGTATTATTGATTTCTGGAGAAATTGTGCATCTTAAATTCTAAACCTTCAAGATTAAAAGCATTTGAAGTATATACCTTAAGAAGCTTTGCATGGAGCAGTAATGTGTAGGCGGCTTCAGTGTAGTTGTCGCATTCTTTGTGCAGGTCACAGAGTTTGTACAAATACCTAAAGTAATAAAATACAATTTTCAACAATATTACAAAATAATTATGGTTTAAGATCCCATGAATTCTAAATGCTGAGATATGAAATAAAATTAATGTGATTTTAAAAAATCTCATATTTCAAATCAAGTAATACTTAGTACCTGGCATTCAAAAGAAGTCAGCAATTATGTGATTAATGCATTTCCTAAAGTTATATACTCCATGGTTAAAAGAGTCATATTTTTGAAGACACTGATATTCTGAAAAGGCTCAGAATACCATTTTGGTAAGTATATAATTGAAAATTTCTAATTTTGATCCCAACTTTATTTCCTTAAAATGTAATTCCAAAGAAACAAGAAAAAAAATCTTTGATACCTTTGAAAATAAATAGGAATCCATCTCAACATATAAAAATGTGATTTTTATGAAAGTAGTGATTATATTTATGAATTATATTTATTATATTTAGGAGCCTTGGTGGCGCAATGTTTAGAATGCAGTACTGCAGGCTAACTGCCGATTGCCAGCAGTTCAGTCCTCACTGGCTAAAGGTGGACTCAGCCTTCCATCTTTCCGAGGTTAGTAAAATGAGAACCCAGATTATTGGGAGCAAAGTATTGACTTTTGAAAACCGCTCAGAGAGTATTATGAAGTGCTATGTATAGTGCTATTGCTATATTTATGTTTGTAACATTTACTATTGTTGCATTAGTGCGTACTATTGTTATTAATATGTTTGATAGTATTAATAATTTTGAATCAGAATAGAGCTGGAAGGGACCTTGGAGGTCTTCTAGTCCAGCCCCCAGCACAAGCAGGAGAGCCTATACCATTTCAGACAAATGACTGTTCAATCTCTTCCTAAAAACCTCCAGTGATGAAGCACCCACAATGTCTGAAGGCAAGCTCTTCTACTGGTTCATTGTCCTCGCTGTTTGGAAGTTTCTCCTTAATTCCAGGTTGCTTCTCTCCTTGATTAGTTTCCATCCATTGTTTCTTGTCCTGCCCTCTGGTGCTTTGGTAAATAAATTGTCCCACTCTTCTTTGTGGCAGCCTCTCAAATACTGGAACACTGCTGTCATTTCCCACCCAGTCCATCTTTTCTCTAGGCTAGCCAAACCCAAATTCTGTAACTGTTCTTTCATCTGTTTTAGTCTCCATGTCCTTAATCATCTTAGTTGCTCTTCTTTGCACTTTTTCTAAAGTCTCAACATCTTTTTTGTAATGTGATGACCAAAACTGGATGCAGTATTCCACATGTGGTCTTACTAAGGCTTTATAAAGCAGTACTAATACCTCACGTGATTTTGATTCTATGCCTCTGTTTATACAACCAAGGATTATATTAGCTTTTTTGGCTGCTGCTGCACACTGCTGACTCACGTTTAAGTGATCATCCATTAGGATTCCAAGGTCCCTCTCACAGTTACTGTTTTTGAGCCAGGTTTCACCTAATCTGTACTTATACCTTTGGTTTTTCCTGCCCAGGTGTATAACTTGCTTTTCTCCCCATTAAATTTCATTTTGTTGGATAGGGGCCATTGTTCAAGTCTGTCAATATCTCTTTGGATCCTAAGTTTGTCTTCTGGGATATTGGCTATTTCTGCCCACTTAGTGTTGTCTGCAAATTTGATGAGTTCTATTTTCTCATCTAAGCCATTTATGGAGATATTGAAAGTACTTGCAATATTTTAATTTTATTTAGCTCCATAGGCGTTTTATATATAAACCAGAATCATACTATTAATTTTTTATTTAATTTGTTTGCTGCCCATCTTGCTGCGAGGCAATTCTGGGCAACTTACAATGTTAAAAGCGGTAAAACCATAACAATAAGGATACAAAAGTATAATTAAAAATGGGAGGGGAGGGGAGCAAGATGTGCATGTGAAAATGGGTTCCACTATTAGTCCATCAACCACCACCAGTAGGGTACTCTCCTTTGGGGCCCCAGGCCAACTGGCAGATATAGATCTTCAGGCTGTTATGGACGGTTGAAGCTGCATAGAAGCTCTTGTAATAAATATATACAACAAATACTTACATATTTATTTAGCTTACTTCAGAAAACGTACATCTCAGAAACATATATAACACCTTTCTACCTGGGCATGATTGCCTATTATATTAGGATCTTGATGGTGACTGTAATATGTGGGAGAGCCGGAAAACATGGAGGGAGCAATTTTAAGACTTTCTATTCAGCTCCACTTGAAAGTCATACAACTCCATATTTTATTTCAGTGTAGCTATTCACATTTAAAGAAAAATAATAATGATGGTGCTAATTCATGTTAAAAATAACAGCTTAGTCTCATGGGAGTAGAAGTTACAAGATAACTAATAGAAACAAAAAAAACAAAAAAACGCCCTTCCTTCCTGATGTGATGAAGTGCTAAATCAACTGTCTTGGCTTCAGTTTTAAACTAATGAAGCCTACCTAATATGTAGCTTCTACACATATACAGAATTACAGAAAATTACTGTAATTTCTGTCATTCTGAATAGGTTACGTTTTGAGTTATAAATGATCAAAATGAAAGCTTCAAATAGAGGAAAGATACTACGTCAAAGAGGTTCAATATACTGTATTATTAAAGAGTTGCTCAAAAGCAAATAATCAGATGGTACTTTTACAATCTTTTGATAATTAGAATTATAACCCGGGGAAAGAGAGTTTTAATATTCATTGGAGAATGCAAGAATGCAATTGTGATAATAAAAATAATAATAAAAAAGCATTTTTTCTCGCTGCAGAAAGGTGGTTGGTAATTAACATCCCCTTTCCCTGATAAGAAACAAATTAAATCAGTGATAAACAAAAACAAATGAAAGGGCCAAAAAAACATTTCAACTGCAGAAAGGAACAAAGAAATACCAACCATAAAGCCATTAGAAGGGAAAAAACTTAACCATACATTGATATTTCAAAAGGGAGTGGGAAATGTTAAAAGAGCAAGGCGGATAGATGGGGGTGGGGACGGAAGCAAAAAGTACATGGTAACTCTGTCAGGATTCAACTTTAATATTTGGAAAAACTAAATGAATAAATTACACTTGCAGAGGAAAAAGAGGTGTGAAAGCAAACTTTGAAATTACACATCTATATATTCTGAATAAGAGTCTCCTCTAAGTATACTGCCTAAAATGTAATTATATGATATAATCGTAGATTACATATTGCACTGAGTCCTTCTCTAATCAACATTTAGGATTTCATTAGGTGTTTGCCGATATATGAACAAAGGATCAGCTTATGCTGCGTTTGTATATATGTAAAACTGTGTATTTATTCTTAAGTAATGCCTAAAAAGTTTCATCTATACAAACCTTATGTACATTTCTTCTCTTTCAATCTCTTTGTAGAAATTCTAAGAGGGGAAAAAAAGAAGTATCAGCTTATTTTAATGAATTTGGTTTTACATATATGTACAAGGGTTTTACACATACTATATGAGGAATTTATAACGTTATAATATTGTAATGTGAGGCTTGCATCTTTTAGAACTCATTTTTTCACCTATGAAATATAAAAGCATTGTTTTTTAAAAAATATTTTATTTCAAGAACTCAGTATGTCCCCAAAAGGGCACTTTCAAATCCTACACCATTAGCTCTTCTCACTTTTGCAATGTACTAGTCATCCTAAAGTACTGAAAAACAATTTAAAACTTTAAACAAAAAATAGCGTTAAATCATCCATTCTTGAAATCTAATAAATTAAAGAGCATATTAAAAACATAAATAGCTTTAGGTAAGGAGGATGAGTGCTGATAATTATAAGATTACTGGAATAATATATTCCTCCCTTCTGATGCAGAACTAAATAAAACTACTCCTCTGGAATATATTTTTTCATTAAAAACACAGAAGGGTTACATTTTCCCTTCTATGCCTGCTATAATTCCCATAATTAGCACACCCACAGCACTAGTATTATTTGTTATTCATTAGAAAACTTTAGCCGGAGAACACATTTTGAGGTTTGGTTCAGTTTGTCTCTTCCTTGATTTAAAAAAAACATCCTTTTAGAACCAAATCATAGTCTAAAACGTAAAGAATTCTATTAATATAAATGATCAGTCTATTGAGAAAATGATGTTGTCTAAGAAACCCATTGTGTGGAATGTACAGTGTAGGCCTGCAGCTTTGAGCACAAATTCTAAGTTGACAGTGTTTCAATGGAAGGATCATCAAGATTCAAATCATTTTTTTAGGGTTTGTTTTTTTTTGTCTTTCAATGACTCCATAATTCCTTGCATCGGGGTGGAGTCAGGACAACTGATTGTAACTGAGTGTTTCCTGGCCGGATGCCCTTCTTGTCACCAATGCAGAGTTTGCAGCTGATATTTACTCATTGTGCCCAGAGAGAGAAATACCTGGTACTATCTAGGATCGAACTCACAGCCTCCTGATTGTGAGGCGAGAACTCCACCTCTAGGCCACTGCACCAGTGAAAGCATAATTTTGTGTGGTTCCTTTAGTTTTTCTGGATCAGTGCTTTGACACCACTGAGGGTAGAAGCATTTCTTTTGGTCAGTAGCACCACTTTGTAGCAGCTCTGCTTATTTCCATTTTCCTGTTTAGCACAACAAGTTGATAAGTTGCTCTGGATTTAATAATGCAGTGCGATAAATATGTTGATGCCACTCTGTTTTATTTCTATTTCATCAGATCCAAGAATGACACCTAACTTTTCTCCATGAGTTTTTTTCAAGAGGGTCTACTTATGTCAAATACAGGCAAGAAGGTTGATGATCAGAGGCCTGGATGGATTGCATAACTGAGTAATCTTCTCTCAAGATAGCAATATATAATTTCTATTAACAGACACAGAACAACACTACACGTGAATTGCCAATAGGAATATGATGGTGTGAGCCTATTATCTCAGTGTTAGGAAAGATTGACTATTATAAAAAATATTTACTTTTTCAGGACAAATATTATTATGGATTGTGTCCAATACAAGTATTTTTTAATCATGAAATTCTAGAGTATGTGGTCAATCTGTGGGCTATGCTCTAAAGTCCCAATTTTGCAGATTCCAGAGCACTTTGCAAAATCAAGCAGCACAGATGTTGCCATCCAGTGGAAGTCTTTGAAGAATGTGAGTCCCCCCCCCCCCACTGGATCAAATAATTTGGTGCAATTTTCATACAGGCTGGCAGGTGACTGGATAAGAAGAAACAGCATCAAGCGCAACCAAGTGACTTTGGGCGCTTAGACCACTTTTAACTGAAACCACACTTCCCTATTTGACACTGATGTGCAATTTGGGGGTTATCTTAGACCCCCCCCAGCTCCTGCTTAAGTTAGTGGTAGTAATGGCCAGAGGGGCCTTCACTCAGATTCATAATATGTATCACCTGCACCTAATTTTAGATCTGAAGGCACTCCAAACAATTATTAATGCTTTCATCATTTTGCACAAGGACAATTGCAAAGCACTCTACAGGGGGCTGCCCTTGAGGACCATTTGAAGCTGTAGCTTGTGCAAAATGTAGTAGCATAAGAAATTATGACCATGCCACAGTGTGATTGTGTAAAATTGCTGCTTTATGAGTACACCAGTTACAAGTACATTTCAGGTGCTTTCCAAATTGCCGGTTATAATCTTCACAACCTTTCATGGCCATGGGCCTGGATAATTGAGGGACCATATATTTCCTGTAGCATCTGCCCATCACGACTTGTAGACTTGGCATGCTTTGGATCCCATCAGTGAAATAGTCCCACCTTTTCTGTTCTGGCACCTGCCATTGTAATATCCTGCTTGAGATTTATATGCACCTAGGCTCATCTCATTCAAATATGCCCTTGAAAACTGGCTCTTCCTTCGTTCCTTGGCTGGTTGATTGGTAAAATGCTCCATGTTGAGAGTGTTGTTTTTTAATCCTTCTCCATGATTCACTATCTTTGTTTTATAGTTGCTATTAATTTTGTTCTTTCTATTGCATACCATTTGGAGTTGCTATAAATTGGGCCGCTTTACAAATTTTAATTTAATTAAAATACTTTTTTCACCCGATAAATCCCTTTATCTCTCCTACAAAAATAGTGTGAATAGTTCATAATTGCCCATCCTCATAATACCTTCTTGACAGCAGACTTGCCTCTTGAAAGTAATTTTTTTCAACAATTGGAAAAAAGTCACAAACTTCAGCTTTCGAAAATAGCCTATAATCAAACCTGCCCAATCCTAGCCTCCTTCCATTTAATATTTTATAAACATGGTAATCCCCTTTATTTTTCTGTTCTGAAATCATGATATTAAAAATAAATAAATTCATGCAGGTAATTCACATGCAGGAGGCAGTTACACAAATCCAGCCTTTTTTCTGTAGAAATGAAAAACTTCTTGATGCTTATAAAATAAATTTTCAAGCATTTTGTCCTTCAACACCTGTCATCTCTATAAGTTTTAAATGTGAGTGCTTATTAAGCTGATGATTCCCCAGGGTTTCTAAATGTGCATGCACAAATAAATTTCCTTGTGAGTTAAAAATAGTTATTCCACAAATTAGAGAAATAGTGCATTAATCTACAGCATACATAATGTACTTCTATGAAAGCATATATTGCACATAAGTGTTGATGTTCAGAGGACATCTACCACAATTACAAAAAAATAATAATCCCTACTCCATATTTTCTAATGAAGCAACAAAGGGGCTTCAGTAGCATTTTAAGAATCCAGCCAGATTTTTTTTTTTTCTGGGCTGGATTCTGATATCCATAATGGGTCAATTTGTAGGGAAGAGATGAAATTAAGTAACTTTTGGAGAAGCAATCCAGATAGGTGGAGTAAAGGACTAATAAAAATTAGGAATTAGAACTTTGCTTAGGAAGTAAACAGCAAAACAGGAAGATAAATGAAAGAAAAACCATACCAAACACTTGTTTATAATCAAAGAAATAAGCCCTCGTTAATGATAATCCCTTTTATGGACTGAAACTGCCAATAAAGTACTTCAAGCAATGAATCTAGAGGCTGAAAAAGCATTTTTATACACCCGCCAGAGAGAGAGAGAGAGAGAGAGAGAGAGAGAGAGAGAGAGAGAGAGAGCGCTATTATACAAATAGAAGCTGTTTCTGAGGTTTGAGAACTGCAAGACTGAAATTTATATAATGAGATTCAGGATCTCCCCCTACTAGAATATAATTTTAATTAAAAATGCAAAATGAATTAAAATTAATTTTAAATCTCCTTTAAAGTGGTTTATATTGACATAATGGCATAGGGCCTAGATACTGGAGAGACCAATAGGTTCTGCCCATCCAATGCCTTCCACCAAAGTCAGGTGCATTCCAGCTCTGTTCCATTAAATAGCCATCTTGTGGGACCTAGGAAGTTATGTCTGCTCAGATGCAGCCCCACCCTCTACAAGAGCATCCCTCCAGAGATAAGGGTAGAGCCTCCTGGGCTTCAAGGAAGCTTTGAAAACTTGGCTCTGATCACACACCTGGGGACTATCTTTGACATTGTTTAATGGCCCCTGTTTTGTTTTTTGGGTTTTTGTTAACAAAGTATTTTATTTGGGCTGCCTATTGACTTAATATTTCTGTTTTTATGAGGTTTTTTTTTAGTTTTGTAAACTAGTCAGAGGACATTGGAATTGGTCTTAACTTAATAAATAAATATATTTATAGGGAGCCAAGCTGTAATAGTGGTAGAAGGTTCCAGACTACAAGTGAAAACACCCAGATTTTTGTCCAGTCCTTTATCTTTGTTTAAGAGTTAAGAAATAAAAAAAAATGCTCCCTATGGAAACAATGTGGCAGATTACTGTCCATAACCTTCACCAAAAGGACTTGATTTAGGAATAATAATTATGATGATAGTGATGTTATAACAAATGGTAACTGGCTGGAACTATGAAAGTTGTAATAATATATACTCCTAACTTTTGTTTAGAGTTCTTTCTTGAAAAAAGAATAATACCAAATACCAAATCCGAAGGATGTTTTTCAGGGATGGGATTCAAATTTTTTAACAACCGGTTCTGTGGGTGTGGCTTAGTTGGTGGGCGTGGCTTAGTGGTCATGTTACTGGCTGGACGTGGCCAACTCATTATCACTCACATCGGGGCATGCATCTCCTTGCCTGGCCTCTCATGACTGTGGGGATGTTGCAACAGTCGTAAGTATGAAAAATTGTCATAAGTCACTTTTTTCAGTGCCATTGTAACTTTGAATGGTCACTCCACACAAGCAAAGTACCAGCAAAGGAGGGGGGAAAAACTCCAGAGACGTTCCTGAGACAGGAAGTCTAGTCCTGCCAAGAATACAAAAAGGGTTAATGGAGAGGCAGTTTCTATAAGCAACACCAGAATGTTTCCTTCCTGCCTTCCTTACAGGATTAGACCAGTAATTTCTTCTAACAACCGGTTCTCCGAACTGCTTAGAATAGGTGCGAACTGGTAGAATCCCACCCCTGATGTTTTCTCTATTTTTCTTGCTTAAATTAGCTTTATGCTCTCTTTCCCCCCCCCATCTGATGCATAACCCACAAGAGGGATGACAGGTAAAGAGCTTCTGAAGCTGTTCTGGTCCCATGAGTTTATGACTGTTTGCAGGGATTCAGTAGCCTAATTCCTGGAAGACCATAATAAATGATCCCAGCAGATATTCTATGTCAACAACAGACTTTCTTAAAAACTTCATGCTCAGTTTAGTGTGTATTTTATGAAGGTACTTAGGTTTCTGTTTCATTTTGTATAACAGGGGTGTCAAACTAATTTCACTGAGGGTCACATCAGGGTTGTGTTTCACCTTGGGGGGGCTGAGTGGGCGTGGCCAGCTCGATGTCCTGCAGCCTGTGCACGGCTCCTCTGAACTCTGTTTTTGGCTGTGACAGCCTCCTGAAGCCCTCTGCCAGCAAAAACGGAGCGGTTTTTGGCTGGCAGAGGGCTGTAGGAGGCTGTCACAGACAAAAACAGAGCTCGGGAGGACCGCATGTAGCCCTCATAAGCTCTGATTTTGCTGACAGAAGCACCGTGAGCCAGTCCTTCCCTCTTTCCAGGGTGGCCCCGTAGGCCAGATCTAAGCACCCAGTGGGCCAGTTCCGTCCCGTGGGCCTTGAGTTTGACATCCCTGCTGTATAGGTATATTTATGGATCATTTTCCTGTATTACAGCAACCTTGAGAAACCTAGGAAAAGGATTTTCGATCTGGCAGTTAAACGCAGAGGTGATACTTCAATTAAATCAACAGTATATCTGGTTGCCATGATATCTGATTTTTTTTAAAAAAAAAAAAAAAAGTTTTGTCAGGTTTCTCCTAATTTGAAGTTATGCTTTCCATTTATATTTGCAATTTTATCTTTTATTTTTATTTTCTAGAAAATTGCAGTAAATCAAGGCATTAACGGTTTACACTCCTATCAACCTATCAGACTTCTTAGTCCCTAAATCTGCCTTACAAAATTGACTACGAAGGCCAATGCAGTTTTAAGATGCAGCATAAGTTACCAATCAAGAACTTTTGCCAAAGTTAGTTTATCATTCTACATTTTCCCTTTCATTGGTAGCTTACTTAGATGAATTATGATGGTGCAAACAGAATCATATATTTAATTTAGGCTTGGTTTGTCTAATCCTCATTTCTAAAGTAAACACCAGTTTTAAAGAACGGAAAAAAGTTCTCAAGTTTTACTTTTTTGTGAAACATTCAGTGGGCAGAATCTTATCCACTTAATTGTAGTCATAAGATTAGACAGCCTAAGAAAAAAAGACATCGTAAAGAATTATTCTTTATCCCACATGTAACCATATCATTTCTCACCAGAACATTGACTGTACAGCTCATGCGGTTTTCCTTGTTTTCATCATGCATAATAGTTCTGTAATCTAGAAGTCTCTCCATCAGCCGTACCACAAGTTTAACAAAAGTTTCACCATTTTTGGCAAGGTACTTGTGTTTTCTGCAGTGTTCTAAAAGGCTGAAAAGGTGATAGGGAAAAAAAAATCTTACTAATCAAACTTGGAAACAGATCCTTCAGGAAAGACTAATTTGAAATATTTTGTAACAACAAATGTTAATTAATCATTATAAATCCAGCTGTTATGAGCACTTACATTTTGTCAAATAACACTTTATATTGTTCATCTCCTCTTCCACCTTCTACTTCATGATCCAGCTTTGTGATTATTTCATTTTCAAACTGTAATTAAACAGAACAAGCATAAATAATTAACACTCCAAATATGTCATCATAAAAATGCTCAGGTTACAAAGTTGTTTGGCTTTACAATAAATGCAATATTTGATTGAATTTTAATAGTTTGACATTTACAGTACTACCTCCAGCTTGTATATAATGATCTATTGCCATATGAGCATTTAGGAAATGTTTGGCCATATTGTTAAATGGAGCTTAGGTGGGTTTTTTTTAAAGCAAATCTATATAAGATGGTTAATTACAGTAATAAGAGACAAGATATCATATTCAAGGCAGGCACACTCTATCCTTCACAATAATTATAATAGCTACAAATGCAAGCAAATTGAAAGCATTATTATGGACAATATATTAGGTTGTACTGCCAATTGCATCATTTGGTTTAGATGAAATACATTCACATGTATTTAGAAGATACAGAGCTTGGCTCACTTCAGATCCATCAGACAAGGAAATTCAAAGTCATTGCATTAGGGGAGGGAGACGAGGCAGAAAACAGCTAGCAATAAGGTTAAAAATAAGGCTTTAACATGATCATATTTATGAAAAAGAACTTAAACAATCAGTGCAACAGATTGTTGGCATCTTTTTCTAGCAAATGAAGATGATTACTGTTACTGTCATTGCTTTTCAATGAACATCAGTGTGTATAAAGCATCTCCCTTAAAATCTGTAAAACAGCCAAATCTTTTTTCAGACTTATATAGTTTTTCTGTGTAATGTTTTGTACAGAAAAAGTTTTTCTGCAGGCACAACCCATTTTCTTAATATCCTCCTCCTTCTGTTCTGCCTCCCCCTTTCTTCCTGGCTATTAGTAGTGGAAAGTGGCTGTGAGCTACCTGTAGCCTGTGAGCTACCTGTAGTTATACCTGCGCTTCCTAAAGCAATCAATTGTATGTACCTTCATTTGGAAAATATCACTGGAGTATCAAAACAATTGAATGGCCATAAAATGAGAGTAAGATGTATTTTGTGGATAGTCGTGGGATGAGAGGCAGAAAGAGTCAATAAAGTAAAAACAAGAAGCATAGGAATTTAAGGTACAACAGCCACCTAGAATTATTATTTATTTTACAGGGTTTTACAGACCAACTCAAAAGAACTGAATGTGCTGCAACACTGCAATAAAATAAATCAGTATTGTAAAAAAAAATAACAGTACAATAATTCAATAGTTATAAAGCAACCCTCTTGTGAGAGGGATGCCAATAAACTTAGCTACGGTTAGAAATCCTGGGAATAAAGATATCTTTAAAGATCTTCTCTAAGCCATGAGGAATGGATCTAAATGCTTAGGATGGCTTGCTGTGGTAGCACTTGGTTAGAATGCAGTATTGTAGACTAATTCTGCCACCTGCCAGCAGTTCGCTTCTGACCAGCTCAAGATTGACTCAGCATTCCATCCTTCCAAGTTTGGTAAAATAAGGACCCAGATTGTTGGGGACAATATGCTGACTCTGGAAACTTCTTAGAAAAGACTATAAAGCACTGTGAAGCAGTATATAAATCTAAGTGCTATTGCCATGGCTATCTGAATTACTGAATTTTTCTTGCTTCTAATTCTCATCTCTGCCCTCCCAATGTCTGTACTTAGAGACACTGATTGCAACCATATTTCACCTATTATGTACCCTCACTTGTTTTTTCTTTTGATATCCCTGCCACTGATAAAAAAAGCTTCATCTTCATACTATAATAAAATATCAAGTACATGCAAAATAAGAAATTATGCAAATAGCATATAATGTATATAACTCAAAATGATTAGAGGTTTGGGGTATACTTATAACTGAGACAGTTTGTGCATTACAAATATGAACAACACAGAGTAATCCTGCACTATAGTACTCTGGCAATGCAAAATCATTTTTACTGGAGCATATAACCAAAACAAAAATATAGCACCAGTGTACTAGAAAAAAATGGTAATACCATGAATTATGAATAAATGCAATGGGGCAATAGGCATTAGCAATGAAATTATATTGTAAGTACACCAATTCTTAATTCCTAATTATAGGACAGAATGAATTTTCCTGTATGTGTACCCTAAAAACACCTGCAACATCAACAGGTTTCAAAGCTGTTATATATTGGACACTGCATGAGAGAAAACACAAGCACATAAATGCATGTCATAAATGTGCCTTTAGCACAATGCAAACATATATCTATATTCCCACAGGAATCCACTTAACTGAAAGAATTCATTCTTATTTCATTTGCGAAAAATTACTTAGCTGCACTGTTTACTTTCTTTCAATATCATGGTGGCATGGAATAATCTTTTCCAAAATCCACAAGTTGACAATTCTCTTAAAATGTAATTTTGTATAGCATATACTTATAGTATGTCACTCATTTTGACAGGTTAGGGGGAAAAATAGGGTCTGCGAGCTGGAAATACTCAGGAGGTTCACAATATTGTTGTATGTATTCCTAGGTAAACTAGTGAGAAATGATTTTGCAACAACCAGTCATATTCCTGGATATCTTGGTCATCTGTGAACCAAAACTCGACAAGCACAAGATGACAGCAATGAGTTGCCCATTTTCTAGATCTCTTTTATATCATCTAATGGTTCTGGATTTTGGAGCCAGATTCAACATTCTAGTATTAGATAGTTGCATAATTCACTTGTCCAGTGAAACCTGGTATCTGTTTTGAAGCAAAATGCACTCCCTCCGACATACCATGTGAACACCATGAACTGCTCAAAAGGAAGACAATAGAGTCCCACCTAGTTAGTCATCTGAAAAAGAAGCTGGGGCGACAGTCTGCTGAAAAAGCCAAGTTTGCACTATCTGAGTCCTGATAGCCCTGAATCCATCTCTCTGCTGATATTCCCTACAGGCTGCTTAAGGATATTTCTGCAAGCAATTGCACCAGCAATATGCTCAATTGATCAAAAATTCTCAGTGGAGCCTATTACATCTAAGCTCATAAATTTTTTAAATATCTTCTTCATAATCCCATGTATAAACAAACAATACTCAGACTGCAGATGAGTCTTGGGAGACACAAAACAGCACCAGGTATCTTTCTGTGACTTTATGTCAGCTCATGCAGCTTATCAGGGAAAGGAGGCTTCTTCACACCCTTGACAGAGTCCACAATCAAAATGCATATACTGTATAGCTTAATTTGAACGAAGTTTGTGAGAGCTCTTGTGTAATGTGGGGCTAGGAGCACTGTGGGTTTTCCAAGTCCCGCCCCCCTTTTGTTCTCCTCCATATTCTCTGCTGCTTGCCTACCCAATAGGAAGGATATGAAACTTTGTTAGTTCTTTTATGCTGCAAAGGCTCATCCGATATCAGTCATTTTGATTTTGTCTGCCAGAACCCATGGTAAAGAGATCTGAGTGTGTAAAGCAAATAGCTTTAAAAACTGTAAATCTGACCCCCTTACTCAATCTTAAGGCATTCATTAGAAAGGCTATTGATTCTAAACTCAGATGAAAAATATCTTTTTTTTTACAGTTTAAATAAAACCTGGTGTTTTTCATTTGCTTTTCTGTTCTACCTTGTTCTGTTTTCTTTCCTCTTGCAGGTTTGCCATTGCATTCTGCACCTTTCTTTATCTGATTTATTATAGTATGAATTTTGTGTCATTATTGTCATTACATTCCCCTCTTACTTTTGGAATAGCTTTCTTCTTTTTATTTTATCTCCCACCTTTTAAGAAATCATCAAACTCCTCTTCCCAAGTATCCTTTCTCCCTTACTATAATGTTTGCAAAGAAATATTAATAACAAGAACAATAGCTGCTGTATATCAGTTTTGTAAGATTCACAATTTGGGAACTGCTGATGAACATGAATATATTTGTATGTGCATTTGGTGAAATTGTAAGTCACTTCACTGAGTAATAATGTAAAGTAGAAATGCTTAAACATATACAGGGTATCTTCTGCAGTGATCAGAGTCCAATGATAATTGAATTTTTATTCATTACCTGAGCACTTTAGGCTGCTCTTAACAGCTGGATATAGTTTGGTTTCCATAATATTACCAAATTTAATGATGTTCTGTAACTTTGTAGGGGATTTCAAAGGTATGAGGCCCAATTATACAAACCTACTTGTCCAATTTGCTACTGCGAAGTGACCCTCCAATAGAAGATGGGATTTACTACAAAATTATTTGCCCAAATGTTCATCAACATTTGGTACTGTTTCTAAACATAAATGTTGAAAAGTTCATGGTAAGTTGACTTGACATACTTGCTCCTACTGACTAAACCAAACTTTAATTAAATAGAAAGCAGACTTAATTACTGAGCACTGAAACATTTCTAAAACATTCATTTTGTATAAATGCTAGCTAATGATAAAAGATTGACAAGATGGTAAGAGGAGCAACAGCTAACTTTGAAAATAATAGAATTTTTTTTAAAAAACCCTTCTGACTGTATTAGAAGAGAATGCAAAGAATGAAGGAAATATTTTAGGATTCCTGTGGTAGATTTCAATAAGAACTTTAAAAAAAATTTCACACTGCAAGCAGTCCATTAGCAATGATTACACTCCAAGCAAAACATTTTCTGACCCAAATTTTGCATTTGAGGAGAAAATTAAAACATGAGGCAAAGAAGAAAATGTCAAATAAGATGAATATCGAGAAATACTGTTCACAATAAATAATATTTTACATTTAGATTTTTTAATTACAAATTCTTTTGCTTGAGGATTTTTTTTTGCATTATACAGTAATAGATTTTCAATTTCAAAACAAACCCAGAGGTAAAAAGTGAATGAATATTGTTTCAAGCATCGCTTATGTTCCACGCAAAGAAATACAAGCACAACACACATCCAATAATATTTTAGAGCAAACAAACAAATGAACAAACTTGGGGGGGATCTCTACCAAAGAAGACTGACACTTTATTACAACATTAAAACTGAGCCAGGACAAGAGAAAGGACAAGCAAGGAACTCTTCTATTTATATAATAAGCGATCCAGCTACTACACAAATAA